AAAAAAAAAAAAAAAAGAAAACCCAGATAACTGATAAAGGAATTACATCTCAAAACAGTCAAAGATGTCTTAAAACTTAATAAGAAAACAACCCAATTTTTAAAAATGAGCAAAAGATCTAAATAGACTCTTTACCAAAGAAGATACAAATGGTATATAGCCATATGAAAAGATGGTGAACATCTTTTGTCATTAGGAAATTGCAAATTAAAACAATGAGATACTACAAACACCTATTAAAATGACTAAAATCTAAAACAACAGTATAATCCAGTATTGGAAACCATGGAGAGCAACAGGAACTCTCATTCATTGTTGGTGGGAATGCAAAATGGTATAGCCATTTTGGAAGACAATTTTGCACTGACAAAGCTAAACATAAGCTTACCATATGACACAGCAATTATATTCTTCAGTATTTACCTAAATGAGTTCAAAACTTATGTGTATGCAAAATCTGCACACAGATGTTTGTAGCAGCTTTATTCATGACTGCCAAAAACTGGAAGTAACCAAGATGTCCTGCAACAGGGGAATGAATAAACAAACTGTGGTATGTCCATAAGTAGAGTATTATTCTGTGACAAAAAGAAATGGGCTATCAAGCTACAAAAAGACATGGAGGAGGGTCAGGTGCGGTGGCTCATGCCTATAGTCCCCGTTTGATCAAGGCAGAAGGATCGCTTGAGCCCTGGAGTTTGAGACCAGCTTGGGCAACATGGCGAAACTCCTTCTCTACAAAAAATACAAAATAATAATAATAATAACTGGGCATGGTAGCATGTACCTGTAGTCTCAGCTACTCAGAGGCTGAGGTGGAAAGATAATGAGACCGGGAGGTCAAGGATGCAAAGAGCCCTTACCAAGCCACTGCACTCCAGTGTAGTTGACAGAGTAAGACCTTGTCTAACAAACAAACAAACAAACAAGAAAAGTCATGCGGGACCCTTAAATGCATATTGCTAAGTGAAGGAAGCCAGTCTGAAAAGGCTACATTCTGTATGATTCTAATTATGACACTCCGGTGAAAGCAAAACTAAAGACACCATTAAAATATCAGTGGTTAAGCCTCATTCTAGATGAGAATGGGTACTGTTGATCATGGTGTCCAAAAAAGTTAATGTGGCTAAACTGAGACAGAGGCTATGCTTCCATCACAGTACACACATTGCAGTGGTGACAATGAGACCTGTAACATTTGGTACACTTATGAGAAAAAAAAAAAAAAAATCAGTGGTTGCCAGAGGTTGGGGCGGGAAGAGGGGTGGGGGGTGTGTGTATATGTGTGTGGGTGTGTAAGGAATGAAAATGTGGAGCACAGGCTGTTTTTAGTGTAGGGAAACTATTCTATATGATCCTATAATGATGGATTATGTCAAATTTATATATGACAATATAAATTAGTCAAAACCCATGAAACTATGCAACACAAATAGTGAACCCTAATGTGCATATGGACCTTAGTTAATAATATATAAATACTGGTTCATCAGCTGTAATAAATGTATCATACTAATGTAAGATATTAATAATAGAGGAAACTGAGGGGTATGGGAAAGGAGTATGCGGGAATTCTAGATTTATATAAAAACAGCTCTAAAACATAAAGTGTATTAAAGTTTTTAAAAGGAGCTTTAAAAAAGTAAAGTGAGGTCTCTGGAAATAGAAATATGTTCTGTGACTGGTAGCTATTAAACATTAAATTTATAATTAGAAACTATCTCCTACCCAAAACATCTTTTTCAACCAAAAAAATGTGTTGAGCATTCCAGTGCTTCCCTCCATTACCAAAATCTAAATATAATGAATTTACAACAAATATCTGTAGGATTTTTGATTTCAGCAAAATTGTAGTAGGTAGCTAGCAGGAAAATATAGCAAATTATCAGAGATCAACTTATGTCTTACTACCTGAATAAACCCTTTTCCTTTAACCTTTTTTTTTTTTTTTTTTTTGAGAAGAGTCTCACTCTGTCACCCAGGCTGAAGTGCAATAGCACGATCTCGGCTCACTGAAACCTCTGCCTCCCAGGTTCAAGCAATTCTCCTGCCTCTCAGCCTCCTGAGTAGCTGGGATTTCAGGCACCCGCCACCACGCCTGGCTAATTTTTGTATTTTTTTGGAGAGA